TTACCTCATCATAGAATTCTCTGGCTTAGTTAATTTAAATATTGTTTCTTAGTTTCTGGGTCAATTAAATTTAAATGATGTATTTTATGCTTCGTGACCAATTAAATTAATAGGTTATTACAAAAAATATTATCATCTTTTTTGATTAAAGAGCTGTGGGTACAGTATATTTTATAAGCAATTTTCATTAGTTCAAAAATGTTCCTTTAGGCTAGATTAAGCAGCCATTCATTGCTGGAGCCTAGAGACCTTATTCGAAGGTGTTCATCGTATTCACAGTGCACTATTACTTAGGACTAAAGCCAATTGAACCTACTTAGCAATAGCGTTATGCCTTTCACCCTTGATGATTATGGAGCTTATAGCGCTCAGAAACAATACACCTGTCAGTTTCCATCAACTATAGCAATCCATGCAGAAGACAAGAGGCCCCTCAAAGCAGGAGGGGTATTGTTTTGGTCCAATTTTTCTTATTGTTCTCAAAATCATTGTAAGGTAGACAGGGTTCCATAGAAGCTTTGTTTTTTCTTTTTACCCCCACTGCTAAAAAGATCAGGAGGAAGAAATTCATTGATAATTTTTTTTATGTAAAAGTCCAGGTTTCACTAAGTAATCACCCTGCCTAAGTCTATAGTTTAGCTTCATATGAAACAGTTGGTGACTATTTCAGGGACAAAAGTGTTTTCAGGTCAGACCTCAAAACAGATCTTTACTTTTTAAAAAAGCAAATAAGACTTCAAAAGGTGGACCCCATAACAGTAATAGTGAGAGGGAAATAGTAAGATGTGAGTTTCCAGCATGTCATTTCTCATTTTATTTTCTTCTCTGTGAATGAATACTTTAGAGAGCCATGTTCCCGACATCCCAGTGTTCCCTGGCTTTCATAGGATTGCCATAACTAGAACCACACTATTGCTTTTTCATAATATTTTCTTTTTGTTTCTTTCTTTTGAATTTCTACAGGGCTGCAAAGTATGCCAGGGGAGTATGTAGCCCGGGGTGGTCCAATGGGTGTGAGTATGGGACAGCCAAGTTATACCCAGCCCCAGATGCCCCCCCATCCTGCTCAGCTGCGTCATGGGCCCCCCATGCATACGTACATTCCTGGACACCCTCACCACCCAACAGTGATGATGCATGGAGGACCGCCCCACCCTGGAATGCCAATGTCAGCATCAAGCCCCACGGTTCTTAATACAGGAGACCCAACAATGAGTGGACAAGTCATGGACATTCATGCTCAGTAGCTTAAGGGAATATGCATTGTCTGCAATGGTGACTGATTTCAAATCATGTTTTTTCTGCAATGACTGTGGAGTTCCATTCTTGGCATCTACTTTGGACCAAGGAGCATCCCTAATTCTTCATAGGGACTCTTAAAAAGCAGGAAATACCAACCGAAGTCAATTTGGGGGACATGCTAAATAACTATATAAGACATTAAAAGAACAAAGAGTGAAATATTGTAAATGCTATTATACTGTTATCCATATTATGTTGTTTCTTATAGATTTTTTAAAAAAAATGTGAAATTTTTCCACACTATGTGTGTTGTTTCCATAGCTCTTCACTTCCTCCAGAAGCCTCCTTACATTAAAAAGCCTTACAGTTATCCTGCAAGGGACAGGAAGGTCTGATTTGCAGGATTTTTAGAGCATTAAAATAACTATCAGGCAGAAGAGTCTTTCTTCTCGCCTAGGATTTCAGCCATGCGTGCGCTCTCTTTCTCTCTCTCTCTCTTTCTCTCTCTCTCCCTCTCTCTCTCTTCTTCTCTCTCTCCCTCTCTCTAGCCTGGGGCTTGAATTTGCATGTCTAATTCATTTACTCACCATATTTGAATTGGCCTGAACAGATGTAAATCGGGAAGGATGGGAAAAACTGCAGTCATCAACAATGATTAATCAGCTGTTGCAGGCAGTGTCTTAAGGAGACTGGTAGGAGGAAGCATGGAAACCAAAAGGCCGTGTGTTTAGAAGCCTAATTGTCACATCAAGCATCATTGTCCCCATGCAACAACCACCACCTTATACATCACTTCCTGTTTTATGCAGCTCAAAAACATAGACTGAAGATTTATTTTTAATATGTTGACTTTATTTCTGAGCAAAGCATTGGTCATGTGTGTATTTTTCCATAGTCCCACCTTGGAGCATTTATGTAGACATTGTAAATAAATTTTGTGCAAAAAGGACTGGAAAAATGAACTGTATTATTGCAATTTTTTTGTAAAAGTAGCAGTTTGGTATGAGTTGGCATGCATACAAGATTTACTAAGTGGGATAAGCTAATTATACTTTTTGTTGTGGATAAACAAATGCTTGTTGATAGCCTTTTCTATCAAGAAACCAAGGAGCTAATTATTAATAACAATCATTGCACACTGAGTCTTAGCGTTTCTGACGGAAACAGTTTGGATTGTAAAATAACGCCAAGCCCAGTTGTAGTCGTTTGAGTGCAGTAATGAAATCTGAATCTAAAATAAAAACAAGATTATTTTTGTCATGCTGACTCCACTGCTTGAAAAATTTGTTTACTGCCCCCCAAATTTTGATGATTAATGTAGTATATATAAAAATTAATTTTAGCTCCCTAAGACACACACATCTTTGAGAAATTTAACTGCAAAGTAAATTATTTAATAATAGTCACTGATTTCTTTACGTTGTCTCAATGAACTCCTAATATCAGCAAATTTAAGGCCTGAGGGCACTAAACTAACTGTAGACTCAGATTACATCCAACAGAATTACTCATCTAATATCACAGAAAATATTCTTGCACATAATGGCAAACCTAAGTACAGAGTTAAGTCTTTCACTCACTAAGGATGTTACCTAGGATAAGCAGTATATGTCTATTAGGAAATTAACTACACAAATTGAAGAGAGCAGACTTCAAAATCTAATTTTTATAAATATTCTCGATGTTCTCACTGGATAAAACTGGTTATTAACCAATTTTCCAGAACAGCTGTCCAGAATTTCTGCATAGCAGCCAGCTAAATGGTACAAAATAACATGTTTAAGCTGAAATAGCTTATAATTTTATTTAAATAAAATTGCTGCTATAAATATGCTTCCTACAGCTAAGGAAAATATATAAATATTTTAATTAAGGTAAATTTGTTCTTACATATCAGTCTTTTAGCAATGATTGCTTTATAAACAAAGGACCAAGATCAGAAGAGAATAGCCTTTAACTCAAGACTGACTTCAGGCCAGTGTCACTGTCAACCCACCCTGAACAATTCTATTTTCTATTTGAAAAGAGAAACCAGCTGTGGGTTGGGTTTACTAGGTGACCTGTGCTAGACTCACTGGTTGGAGCAGCGGTGAGGACTCTCACCTTTTGTTTATGGGGCCTTCTTTCTAAACACGTGGGTGAGCCCTTACAGCGACGACGCTCAACCCTCTGCAGTGAGGTCCTGAGGAGCCCTCTACACCACCCCACCCCGCCCCCACTCCATGCATGGGTTTGTTTAAATTTCCCATTTGGACTTCGTGGTAGCAATTCTTCCCTACATAAGTAGCCCATATTCGTGAAATAATTCTCATTTGATAGGTGGCTAGTAGCAGTTAACAGCCATTTATTTACTTTAAAAATTAATAATAAACTTTATAAACTAACCATCTGCCCCTCCTCCCCAGTACATGCCTGGGTGAGTTGGTTATTTTCAGCCTTTATTCTCCGAGGAAGCTTTTGCCTGGTGGGGGAGGGAAAGAAAGAAAGCAGAAAGGGGGAGGGGGGAAGTGGCGGGGGAGTTGTGGGGGACGAAAGGGGGGGGGGAGAGAGAGAGAGAGAGAATTGAGAAAGAGAAGAGGAATTAAGTATGGGGTCTGTGAAGAATCAAGATCACTCATGTCCAGTGATTTAGAAAAAAAAAAATAAACAGTTTTCTTTCCCTGTGTTCCGCCCTGTGTATGAGGGTTTTGTGAGTGACTTGCTTCACCGCCGCCCCCCCCCCCATTCTTTACATCACCCCCTTCTCTTAATGCCATTTTAGCTTTTCCTCTTGTAAATTTCAGAGACAGCTCCGGGGTTATTGAGGACACTTATCCGAAAGGGGTAAATAATAGAGGTGCTGAGAGTGTTTTTGATGTTTCTTAAAAGGCAAAAACAAAACGCCCTTTTCTAAACAAGGGCACACAATTGTACCTGCTTTTTATTTTTATTGGGATTGGTGGTCGTGGTGTTGACTGAACGAGACTACTTTATAGTAAAATTTTAATGATTTTCAAAAAAATTAAAAATATTTTACCCTATCATATATAATCAGCTGTAATTATAACACATTCAAAATGAATAATATGCCTTGACAGTATTTTTATTGTTATTGTTCATTGCATGATGTTCGACTGCTTTAGAAGCACAGGAAAGAGAAGTAAACGCGCTACAAATGGGGAATTACCCTCGTTTAGCATTAAAATTCATTTAGATAAAATTGCCACAAACATTTAAATGGGAAGATTAGTTCCCCCTCACGCCTTATTGCACTCGCTCAATGGTTCCGTTAAGAACATTTTACACGTTGGAAATTCCGTCTTCTCAGACGGCTTGCTGTTTCCTAGTTACCCACATTCAAAGCAAAGGCAGCAGCAAAGGCAGCCACAGCAGCAGCAGCAGGGGGAAAAAAAAGTTTTGGCAACTGGTCTGCAATTCATCCGCGGCTGGCCCCAGCCTCCCCTCCACCCACAGCAGTCCGCTCCCCGCACCCATCAACGTTCCCTACTCCTACCTCTGCTCCCCCATTGAGTAATCTGCAGAGGCCCGTCCTCGAGGAAACACACTGCTCAGTGGCTGGACATTTATATAATGTGAAAATACAAAGACAGATCAAAATAAAGCTAGTCAGTCTCTCTCCCCCTACTGCTGGGCATCGAGGGTTTAAAGTGCTGAGTTTCTCACATCTCCTGCTCCGACCACATAAGCCACTTTGGGGGGCTCCATTCCCCCCCGTCCCCCGGTCATTTCCAGGAAAATCACCAGTGCTTCTTGCATCTATTAGAAACGTGCGGAAGAATTAGTTTGAAAAGTCCAAGCAACGTCTGTCTAGTTCCCCCATCCCCCTCTCCTTTCCCCTACTCCCTCCTCCTCCTCCTCCTCCTCTTCTCTTCCCCCCTCCCCCGTCCTCCTCTCCGTTCCTCCCCCCCGCCCTCCCTTCGCAGAGCCGCAGGAAAAGAAGAACGTCGGCTTCGACTGCCATCTTTTGGGGATTTGGAAAAACGACTTGGTAGGAAACCGGGAGGCGGAGGCGCGGGGGGTAGGGTAGGGTGGGGTGGGGGGAAAACCCCCTTATTATCCTGTGTCGGAACTGGCTCCCTTAATCTGATGCTTAAATATTTGATGTGGAAAAATTACCCATAAAATTAGTTACTAACAATTTCAAATTGAAATCACTTATCGAATTATAAACGCATTAAAGCTGTATGGATGGTATTAAGAGTTCCTCGGGAGGCAGCGGGTGTCTCCTTGCAGTGAGCCGCGGGCCGGCGAGATGGGCCCCAGCGAGAGCCTCCGTCCCCCCCACCCCCAACCCCCGGGACCCCGGGCTAGGGGGGCTCGGAGGGCGACGCGGGGCTTGGAGCGCCGAGGGCCCGGCTCTGGGGAGCTCCGGCGACTCGCTAGGCTCGCGGGGGGGCTGGGAGAAAGGAGGAGAAGCGGAGACTGGGGGCTCCGACCCGGAGGCCGGGCAGGAAACTTCGCGGTGAAGTCGGAAAACGCCGGGAAGGGAAAGCCCGCGCCCGCCCCGGCCCCTCCCCGCAGCGGCTCCCACGCGGCGCGCAGAGTTGGCGCTCGGGGTGCGTGGCGCCGGGGGAGATGCCTGGGGCTAGGCCAAGCTCCGGGACGGGCGGGGACAGCGCCAGAGAGCGGCGGTGCCCGCGTGTCACCGCGCGCGCGGCGCCGCGGCGGCCCGATCGCTGGCCCGCGTCGCGGAAAGCATCCGGGGAGCGACCCGGACACCTTTCGCGGCCTCCTCCCCCCTGCCCGTCCCGACCCGGAGTGTCAGGTCCAGGGAGGTCCTGACTTGGTTTTCGGAGACCAGGCGACCCTGGGTCTGCGCAGATTGCTGACAGGCGCCTCCTGCGGGGGTGGCGGTGTTGCAGACCAGCCTCTGCTCCCCCTCCTTCCCCCCTGGCGCAGAATCTCTCGGGGCGCTTTGTGGCGGGCCAGAGGCTTCTTGATGGACAATTCGTGAATCCCGTATCTGCTCCGGGAACGCGATCTCAGGGAGTTGGGGTCCCGGGAGCACTTAGAAGCCGGGGGCCACGAGTAATTGGGTGGAGGTGGGGGTTCTGCCAGGAAGCCACGTGCAAGCACCCGGACGCCTGGTGCAGGATCACTTCAAAGTCTCTACCCCCACCTCCACCCAATTCCAGCCTTTCGGATCCCGCAGACCCTCGGCCCCGGTGGAACCGTGAAAACGTGACTTGAAGTTAAGGCTGTCTCTTGTGGGCACCTGGTTGCCGCCTGGAGCAGCGTGAAGACGGTAGCTGGGCTCCCATTCTGGCCCGGGACCCCCCCACCCCCTTCGCCTCATTCTCCTCCGGTGCCACCCCGCAACCACGAGACTGTTACACAGCCGATAGCCCTTGGGGTGGACAGGTGAATAGGCTACCTGAGTTTCGGGGAGTCCCTAGTCTCGGGGCTGTGCGGCGACGGAGAGCGAGTCGGGAATGGCCCCACCAAAGGGGGCGGCTGAGGACTGGGCGGGGGCCCAATCTGCCAGCTACAGCGCCTGCAACGTTCTCTCCCAAGGCGGAGCTGAAAGGAAAAACAAACAACCTATTGAGCAATGAATGAGTTCGGCAGCGTTTGAACTTTGTCAATCTTTGCTCTAAAAAACGGGCATCACGAGGGTCTGTGGGGGAGAGGAGAAGAATGTTTGCGGGGGCCCCAGCTCTGCCCGGCAGCCACCCAGGACGGCGCTGCGGACGCTACCCCCTCTCGCCCGGCGCGCAGAGCCCACCGCGGGGACCCCGGGCAGCGAAGCCCTGGAGCAAAGGGATTGAGTTTTAAGCCAGTCTCCCATCGATCGGGTCTCTAATTCCTACCCCTGCCCACTTCCAGACATACTCACCTCTACCCTAAAGCATTAAGTTCATTACTCGAGCAATGATCTTAATCTTCAGGCGGAAAATCGAGTCCCGGGACCTCTAGGACGAGGCACAGAAGTGAATCAAATCACCTGCTCACGCACCGGACCTGCCGGCTCCTGGGGCGGGGGCCTGGGGCGCGGGGGCGGGCTGCGCAGGTGTCCCTTGCTCCACACCCCGGCACGCCCGACAGGGGTCAGGGGCCCGTCTCTGTCTCCTTCGGGTGGGCGACCTTCGCAAAGGATGGGATGGCACTAGCTTGCATTCCTCTTCCCCGCCCTTGGGCTTTTCTTCTTAGGACCCCCTCCGACCTCCGAGCTTTCTGCCTCCTCCTCTCTTCCCCCAAAGTGGCGAGTTCCCCTTCTCCACCGAGTGTCCCCAGTTTCTCCCGCCTCCCCGAGTCTCC